CCGATGATCGGAATATTTTTCAATATTTTGGATCAACCCTGGTATTGAAATCATGATTGAAGGCAAGCGTGCATTGAATCTATTTTCTCCACAGATTTTCAGGCCCTGGCCCCGAGTCCTGCTACAATCGAGTGATTAATTTGAATTACATTTGGATGTTTTGGATTGGACTTGTGTGACGGAGGAAAGGTTACAGAATTAAACTTCACACGTGAGTACGATCGTATGAGATAATTCAACATGTCTGGCCCACTTTGTTGGCTAATGGTATTACAGTATTTTTGAACTTGCTATTTCACTCGTGGATTATCGAGTGTGAGAAGCGCACCGAAGACTTGGGTTTTGAATTTTAGAAAAGGAATTCCTGAATAATTACGACTGTGGAATGTGTTTGGTTTTTTTTGTGGCATGTATTATGTAATCTTCCATGAAAAATAAAGCACTTCGTTCCAAATTAAAAAAAAGTGAAGATACGTGAACGCAAAGATGACACAATTTATTTCTTGGGAACATTAGGTAGATATACAGTACAGTACAGTATTTGTAATTTACGCATCCCAGGGTTATTTTGATACTTTTTTGAGGAATAAGACTTTTATTTCTTAGTACTGCTCAAATTTTTTTCTTAATTTCAGCTCTTATTTTAGGGACCACCGACCCCCTTTTAAATCGTTAAACCGCCACGAACAAACGGTGGCGGTTTATCGAGGTTTGATTGTACACTATTACAGAAACGTGGACCAGTAAATGAGGTTCAGAATGGCGAAGGAAAGCGGGAAGAAGAAGCGGGAAATTCGGTCGATGAGAATTGCGATTTGTCTTCCTCCACACCCTGTGATGTACGCCGGTTCGTTTGGGGGCGGTACGCTAGTTGTTCTTCTCGTACCATCAGCGTACGTCACCTGCTGGAGAAAAGTAGCGTCAATGATCACTTCGCGAAAAAAGCTTGCGATTAGAGTGACAGTTAATTAAATCAAAAGCTCAGGCTTGAAGTCAATTTCTGTTGTTACAAATGGGGTAAACAAAATGTGAATCAAGTGCCTGGTTTTGAAAAGTTGAAACTTTTCCAGTTAAATTTGGATGGGACCAACATTTGACTTGGGAAGGTTCCGGAAATCGGGGCCGATAATGCTTACGACTAGAAAAAGAAAAATAGAGTTGAGAAAGTTTTTCACTTACAAAGAGGTTCAAATTGAAGAGGTGTACCGTGAAGTGAAAGATATGAGGCGGTTTCTTCGTGCAATTTTCCAAAAGGAACCCCCACATCTTGATAGATTAGATTTCGGTCAATGTTGTTAAATTCGCAGAACTTACGTAGAAGGAGCGATCCCGGCTGATGCTGGTTTCTTCGGGGTCGTCGTACCCTTTCATCGCCTTGGTTGCCACGGGTCCCATGAAATAATTGACAACTGCGAACTCCATGAGGGAAGCGAACACGAAAAGAGTCACTGACCCAAGGTTAGAAGAGATGTCACTCCCAGCGTGACTCTCGCCGGAATGGCTTCCGGTTTGATCCAGAAGGAAATCCAGGACATGACGACGATCATGGCGGATGGGATGTAGGTGTGGAACAAATGGTAGCCTAGGCGACGTTTCAGGCTGAAGTTGACCGAGATGCACGTGAAATTCCCTGCAAAAAAAAAAAAATAGTGCAATTCCAAGTATAGTCCTCGCATTTTGCTTTTGCGTGTGCAATCAGAATTACAGTTGAACCTCTGTAAGTCGAATTTCTAGGGACCAGGAAAAAAATTGGACTAGGGGAGGTTTAGACTTAGGGAGCTTTTGATTTTTGCAGGTTTTGAATTAGGGAAAAATAATTCTTGCTGCGAGGATTAGTAAAAAAATGGCAGGAAATTGTAAATTAGGAGATTCTAGGCCTAAAATTGCCTCTTGATGAGTTTTTACTGTGCTGAACTTGGAGGCAGGGGTTCATTTGCTATATTTTTCTTTCAATTCCTTCCAAAATGCATCAAATTATTTGTTTTAATCATTTTCTCTCTCATATTTCACAGAGATAATAACCAGAAGGCCTCGGAAAATTCAACTTACAGAGGTTTTAGAAAAAAAGAATTCAAGTTAGGGAGGTTTTTAATGTATTGATTTTAAGGGAATTTGGACAGGGACTTGACAAAAATTCGACTTAGGGAGGAATTCGACTCATCAAGGTTCATAACCTCTATAACTTGAACCTCCCTAAATCAAAAACCCCCGAACTCGAATTTTTTTCAGGTCCCCATCTGAATCCCTTCAGAAGCAATACCTAAAAAAAAAACCTCCCTGAGTCGAATGCTTTCACCCGCAAACCTCCATAAGTCAAATTTTCTGTGGCCTGTCGGCCATTATTTTCTTGACCCAAGAAAGAAAAAAAACAATAAAAACATAAATGAAGGTGTTTTAAAAGAGGTGAATTTGGCAAATGAACCCCTGCCTCCAAGTGCAACATCCTGTGAACTTATTTAAAAAGCCATTTAAGCGCCAGAATATCACCATTTACAATTTTGGGTAGTTTTTCTGAGTTTTCCAGAAAAAAGGCTTTTTACTGTAGCTCAAATCTTTTTAATTTGAAACCTCCCTAAGTCAAATTTGTTTGCTTGTCCCTTGAAATTCAACTTAGAGAGGTTTGACTGATTGACATTTACGCTACAAGAAAAAAAAAGGTTTGAAGCAATTATCATTAGGTGTGCAAATTTTTTTCTAAACATTCCAGGATAAAAGTTTTACCCATAAGAACTTGATAAATTTCTTACTGAACTTGAATTTAGTTCTGCCATCTTTTGTATTCCCACAAAAATATGGGTGGATTTCTTCTTTGCTTCAGTGTAGCAGAAGTTGAATTTCAGGGGAACAGCAAAAAAATTTGACTCAAGGAGGTTTGGAATTATAGAGGTTTGAGCTACATCACATAGCTCTTTTGTTCTGGGAAACATAGAAAAATAGCCCAAAATTGTAAATGGTGGTATTATGGGGCTTAAATTGCTTATTAAATGATTTGAAAGGATGCTGAACTTGAAGGCAGGGGTTCATTTGCCCAATTAAGTCTTTCACTTCCTTTTCAGACATATAAATCTTTAATTGTATCTCTTTTTTATTTCTCGTGTCAATTAAATCACAGCCAAAATGCCACAGGAAGTTTGACTTACAGATGTTTGAGATGAAAAGCCTTTGACTTAGGGAGGTTTTTATGCACTGTTTCTAAGGGGATTCAGAGGGGATCTGAAAAAATATATATATCTCTTGAAGAAATTGAGAAACTGCCATAGACAATTTACTTTAATTTATTTTTTAAGACATGCAAATTTCTTGCTTGTTTTTGTAGGGGGTTCCCCTGTGAAACTTCCGCAGTGCAGAAATATGTGTGCAATTCTTTTTGTTGCTTTTTGGAGTCATTCTTCAAAGTCAGGAAAAACATGTTCATTGAATTTTAGAGAACATTTCTATTTTTTTGCCAAATGAGAAACGTGGATTAAAATGTTCCCATTGAAGTTTTTGGGCTAATGTTATCAAATTTTTTTGATGTTGCAACATATGGGCAGAGTCTGAGAAGTAATTTCATCCCCTCTGTGTTTTCTCATTTTATTGTAATTACTTTATGAAGATTTTTTTTTAATTTTCCTGCCAAACCTGTTGAATACGTTATTGTGCAGTCCTCGGTAGTATTCTTTGCAATGTCCAGCTGTGGCAACTCAATGGACGGATTGATCACCAGTGGATCCGTGTCGTTCCACTGGAAAACCATGTCTGCTGTCGTGTGTGACACTGAAAAAGAAACTTTTGATTAAATCGCAATTCCGCTAATTGTTTTAATGTATACAACTTACGACTCTCAATTAGAATTGAGCAATACTGGGTGTCGTGTGGGAACGATTCGAATTCCATTGCGCACGAAAGCACCAGCGTTAGTCTGCGAACACATTTTTTCGTTGAATTTTTCGATGATGTTTCGGGGGTATTTGTGTTTTCCCAAAAATTCAACCGTGTTGAAAATTTAATATCGATGGAGTCATGGCCCGTGAAAAGTTTTACTATACAGTGAGTCCCCGCATTACGAAATACCAGTTCTTTGAAAATGTCGCATTGCTAACATTTTTGTCGGGAAAAAATGAATCACTTTACGAAATCGCGAAATATTTTTGGCCAAAAACGCCCCGAAAGTTAGCTAATGTTGAACTGAATCTTTGAATTGTTTAAAAAATATCGAGAAAAAAATCGAGTTCAATCATGCATTTTTTTTACCTTGAAATTCGTTCAATTTTTCGCAATTCATGATGAGAGCAAAATTATCAGGATTAATTCAGCTTCAGACAAACTAATTTAAAATTGCTGAATTCATGCAGAAACTATGAGAAATGCATAATTTTAAGGGGTTTTGCGAGCGTCAAGAACAAATGGAATAAATTTCAATGTGACATTGAGGGAAATCATGTTTTTGCAAGAGATGAATTCAGCGTAACAAATCCACCTCGGAATGGATTAATTTTTTTTTTTCAATCAGCGGATATACTGTTTTTGTAATCTGTGAAATTTACAGTCGGTCAAATATTACTATGTTTGAGACTAGCAGAAAACATTTTATAGAAACCTTAGAACCCCTTGTATTTCAGCCCGTTGTTACAATGAAATGGCAAGAACCGAGTAAAATTTATTTGTTATGAAATAGAAGCAATCCTAGAACTAATAAGCTCTCAACTTTTGGAAATTCACAATTTTTGGGTCTTCTAAAATGAACTATTGTACCTTTTCTTTTTTCTTCAACCTTATTGTTTGCCTAGATTTGGAAATTTTAAAATTTGAAACATGAAACCCGCTGAAAGTCATTCATTTTTGTCTAGAAATTTTGTTTGTTGCACAATTGTGTGATGTGAGTCATCCCCCCTCCCACTAAGAAATTGCATCATGTGAATTCTTGTTGTGCAGTACAGTGAAATATTGTTACAACAAAGCCATTTGGGACCAGTAAGATAGCTTCATTACAGCGAAAAATTCATTAAAAGCAAACCCAAATAACATTGCAGCTATTCCACAGTGACCTGCAACAGGAAATCGTTAAAATGTAATTGATTATTCACTATGACGAGATTCTGCTGTATAGAGTATTTTTTTTCAAGTAGTGACTCACTGCATTCTATTGAAGTATTGTGAAATTAAATATATTGATTCAATGTTTGAAAGCAGGTCCAAGAAATTGAAAAAAAACTCTGCTCATGTTTGGGTACTTTCCTGTTATCTCAGTACCCATTTTTTTTCTTGTGAATTCAGTATTTGTTAGGTTAGGTTAGGTCAGGTTATGTTAATTGAAAGTTATTTGTAACTAACATAACCTGACCTAACCTAACTTCACCTAACCGCCT